AAACTATGGAGACAGAAAACTTTGTGTGAGGACTGGCATATGTGCAAATAGAAGTAAAATGACAAGGGTGTTTAAAATTTAGTCTATTCAGTAGGATTCTGTTTCTAATTTAGTTCATCTACCCTTAAATGGCACAAAGGTGACTGGGCAAGGAAAGAGATCAGCAGGGATACATAGGGACAGGCAGCTATTTTAGCTGAGGGATATGAATGGGACTACTTGCAGAGAAACAACATGAGTAAAAGTGGCAGAATCTGGCCCTGAGTTATCATGGATTCCATGTCTTCCAACAGCACAATCTCACAAACCTGTAATTTCACCTCATGATTCCTACTCAATAGCAGCTCATAGTAGACTCAAGAAATTCATCATTTCACTCTTCATTTCCTTCTAGTTACCATTATTCTGCTGAAATGTGGGTTATTGCTTGTGTGTGTATAAAATTCTTTTACATAATGTTGGTATAGCTGTGCTGGTTCCAGAATATGAGCTGGTGAAAGAGGTGAGCTTTCAAACATATCTCTTTCACTAACCAAAGTTGGTCCAAGATATTGCTTCACCCACCTTGTTTCTCTTATAAAAGCAATATTAGAGGGCCACCCGCTGTGACTTGGTTTTGTTGGTTAGTTGCTACAACAGGAGATTGCTGGGTTGTACAATTGTTCTATTTTGATAGCATTCAAGCATTATTTGTCTGATTCTGTCTACTCTGTCCCCTTTCCCCCTTGCCTTGCAAAATCTTAATTCTTAGAGAGGTCCACTGAGCAATGTGTTTGCTGCTACCAGATCTGCCCATGGTGCATTTGCTTTGCTTTTCAGTACCCAAGACATTTTAGAATGCTCTCTTGTCCAAAATATCTGCCTTTTTCGTATTCTTAATCCATCTGACCTGCTTTTCTTTTTCATCATCCTCTCAACTCAAAAGGAAGAAAGATAAGTGTCTCTTAAACCCTTTTACATTGTTTGAGCCTTTCCTTTTAGTGATGCCATTCTAATGACCACTGACCTCAGTGAAAGTCCTGAGTACCAAATGATAGCAGAATATAGAACTTTGTTTCAATTGACTTCCCTGGGAACTCATTCCATGGGGCCAATATCTACCTTCAAATTCATGCAGGATTTCCATTGACACCAGTGAGGCTTACAAGGGCAGAAGTAAAGGCTCACTTTGCCCCTTGTAATAAGTAGTTCTCATAGATTCATTTTATTCCTACTTTCCTGATTTTTATATTATGTCCCCACATTTTTTTCTCTACTTCATTACTTTTACTAGTCCTTTATCATTGTTGCCTCTTCCATTACTATACTCATAACAACATTTGGATTTTGTTGTAATTTTGAATTGTGTCTTCATGGAAAAAATCTTATAGAATTGTACAGAAATGAAACCATAGGGTTTTATAGAAGCTACTCTAAAAAGGCCCCATTGACTATAAAAAACAATTAGATATTTGTTATGTTTAAACCATCCTACAGAATCCTATATAAGAGAGAAGATTGTTGATAAAATTCTAAACAATATTTTTAAATACCAATAGAAAGTTTATAATTTCCTATAAAATGCTGAACACTTTACACTAGCAGTATAATTCAGATTGCTTTTATCATATGTACAGTACATTTTTAGCCAATTATGTCACCAACATAGCCATAAATTGGGTTGGAAAGAATACAGTCAGATTATCTAACAACACATTCACCTTGATGCTTCAGAGTAGCAACATTCGGAAAAATAATTGATGATGTCCAAAGTTAACAGATTCGTTTTGGATGGGCCAGGTATGTTCATCACAGCATCTATACTACAGCGTTATTCTGAAATATCTTAATTTGAAATAGTTAATTTGAAATAAGTTATTTTGAAATAACGCGTCTATACACAAAATGCAATTCGAAATAGCTTTTTGCTAAATCAAAATAGTGCAGCCACACTGACTGGATGCTGAATCGCATTTAAGGCCAGCTGAAACCGGTTCCGTCAGGGCATCAAGTCAGCAGTTGCTTTGTGTGGTTGCTGTCTTAGGCTATCTGAGGCTTGTGCTTAAAGGAACCCCCGGACAGCCAGTTCACAGCTTTCCCTGCTTGCTTGCCTATCTTGCTGAGGGACAGCAAAGCATTTTTCTCTCTGCTTGCTTGGTTGCCCTCACTCGGGACACGACAGCACTCAGCAGTATGGAGCCAGAGCCACCCCTCTGCACTTTGGTGCTTCTTTTGGATGTTTTGCTGCAAGCCGGGCAGCAAGTGCTGGAGACTGCCTGGCACCATCTGCGGCAGCCCAACCCCCAGGTCCTCTTCATGACCCCCCTGGGGGCCATGGAGTATCAGTGCCTGGATGCCAGTGGGTCCCGCTGCATCTGGCACCTGGACACCAGCAGCGACTTGTGGGACCACATCGTCCTGGAGTGCTGGGGAGACCAACAATGGACCCAGAACTGCAGGATGAAGGAGGACACATTCCTCGAGCTCTGTCAGTGGCTTGCCCCTGCTCTGCGGCAACAGGACAGCACATAAGGACTGCCATTCCCCTCCTCAAGTGTGTGGTCATCACCCTCTGGAAGCTCTCCACGCTGGATAGCTACCAATCTGTTGGCAACCAGTTCGGCGTGCGGAAATCCACCGTCAGAGCAGTGCTCATCCAGGTATGGCAGTCTCCGGCCATTGTGCCAGGACGGGGGAGGGGGATGCAGGAGTAGATGGGCTGCCCCAGGGAAAAGGGGGGAGGGGATTCAAGTCCCCTCCATGGGAGGGTTTGTTCTGTCCCAGCTGCACTACAGACTTCCCATGGTGGCCAGGATTTCAGGGGGGGAGGGGTTGCTCCTGGGGAGCGGGGCAGTGGTGGGGAAGGAACACTCTCAGCCACCCTGGGACCCCAGTGACTCTTGGTTTTCTGTGTCTCTCTGCAGGTGGTCAAGGTCATCAATAGAGTGCTGCTCTGCAGAGTCATCTGCCTCACGGATTTGGATGAGGTCATCGAGGGCTTTGGTGCCCTGGGCTTCCCCAGCTGCGGGGGCAGGGGGGGATAGAGGGTGGGGGATAGGCAGGCAATCGACAGGTTGCACATCCCCATCCATGCCCTGGAACACCAGGCCTCCCTCTACATTAACAAGAAGGGATACTTCTTGGTCATCCTTCAGGCCGTGTCTGACCACCTGGGCCACTTCCTGGACATCAATATGGGCTGGTCTGCAAAGCACATGAAGCATGGGTGTACCGCAACTCCTCCGTGTGCCAGAGGCTGCACGTCGGGACCTTCTTCCCTGACTGCCACATCAGGGTTGGGGACATGGACATGCCTGTGTGCCTGCTGGGGAATGGGGCCTACCTGCTACAGCCCTGGCTCATGAAGCCCTACACAGGACACCTCAACCTCTCCCAGAAGACCTTTAATGCCAGGCTCAGCAGGGCCCATACTGTGGTGGAGGGGGCCTTTGGCTGGCTGAAGGCCCGATTTTGATGCCTCCTCACCCGCCTCGACCTCTCCGAGAGTAATATTCCACACATGGTGGTAGCGTGCTGTGTGCTGCACAATTTGTGTGAACAGAAGGGGGAATATTTCCTGCCAGGCTGGATGGCAGAGACCAACCACTTGGCTGGCCTGTATGCACAGCCCCGCACGGCTGCCAGCTGAGAGGCCCATCGGGGAGCTGTCCATATCCAGGAGGCCCTGCGGGAGAGCTTCCACATGGAACAGGACTGAAGTCTCCCTGGCATGCCCCACTGAAGTCTCCATTCCACCCTCACATCCTTCCACTTATCCCTCCCTAGCCCCCCTTCCTGATGTCAAATAAAATACATGTATTTTCAAAAATATAAACTCTGTTTATTTAACAAAACTGGGGAGGGAGGGATGAAACTCTGGGGAGAATGGGGAAAGGAAGAGAGAGGGTGGGAGAGGGGAGGGGGAAGACTAGGAGGAGGGAACAGGAAGGGGGAAGCAAGGAGAAGAAGGTGGAAGGGAAGCTCAGGGCTCTGAGATGGGGGGTCTTGCCAGGCCAACTGTCTCCCAGCACCGTGGGTACGGGGGCTTCGGTCTCCCCAGGGGAACGGAGAGGAGGATGTGGCGGTTGAGGTAGGGGGTGTGGAGATTGAGGAGGAGGGTGTGGAGTTTGAGGAGAGAGAGGCAGGAGGGGGAGAAGGAGTGGGAGGAGGAATGGGAGCTGGGGAGGCAGCAGGTGCTGGAGTGGCATGAGGCAGCATGCTCTGCACCAGGGTCTGCAGATGGGCACAGATGGCACATCCCTGGTTAATCTGTTCCTACCAGAGCTCCAAATCTAGTTCCACCCAGTGATCAACGGTGTGGTGCAGGGCTTGCAGTGCCCCCAGGTGCTGCTCTCGGTATCCCTGCAGCATTTGGCTGGTCCTCCTGTGGAGCCCTCGTGTGGGAAGATGTCTCGGATGGGGTGGTGCGCCCTGCACGTGCAGCTGGTGCGGCTGTGGAGAAAGAAGAGGAGTTGTCAGTTCTCCCTGGGGATACAGTTGGTGAAGCCCAGCCCCCCTCTTCAAGGTGAGGATGACCATTCCCTGCACCATCAGAGCCGATGTGCTTGCACAGAGGCCATGGTCAGATTGTCCGGCTATCCCCGGGAGTGGTAGCTGCCCCCAGACGGCACCCAGGCCCCTGTGTTGTGAATAGTGTGGCTGAGGTGGGGGGGAGATGTCCCATGCCTCTGTATAGAGGGGGCTTGTGAAGGGAGGGCGTCCTGCTGTGTCCCTCCCTGGGGTCAGGAGCATGTCAGGTCTCTGCACACACGTGTGCGGCTATCAGGCCACAGTCTCTGTGTGGCACGCAGCTGGAGCCACCTGCCCAGGGGTGGCAGGGCACGTGCTTGCACATGCACAGGTTGCTGCGTGACCCGTGGTAAGCAAGGCCCACGTGCGTGGTCCCTGGTCTCCCTCCCCATTCCCTCCGGAAAAGGAACAGTGATGGCACTTACATGGTGTGGCCTCCCCGGACAACCCTGGTGACTCCGCTGCTGGGACAGCTCAGGGGGTCCAGCCGGCATTGCACCCTCTGTGGCACCCTCCATGGCAGTTCCTCCTCTGCACCCTGGTCAGGGCCCTCTGCTCCTGGCTCACTGCCCCCTGGGCTGGCATGGACTGTCCCACCCCCTAGGATGAGGTCCAGGGCCTGAAAATAGGGGCAGGTGTGTGCCCTTGTTGGGGAGCTGCCCCAGGTGGCCCTGGCATATCCCTGCTGCAGCTCTTTAATTTTCATGCACACCTGTTCTTGGGCGCTCATGTGGCCTTTTGTAGCCATGGTGGTAGCTAT